TCTCTCGCTTTATACAAACACAAATTATACATTGTATTTTGTATAATCTGTGTTTGAATAAAGCGAGAAAGAAAGAAAGGCAAAAGAGAACTGGGAAGGGAAAGATTTGTAATGTATAATTATAAGTGTATAGTAAGAAGATATATGTATTTGTATATACAGTTTTCTCTCGCTTTATACAAACACAAACACAATTTATACATTTGTGTTTGTATAAAGTGAGAGAGGCGAGCGAGATATCTGGGAGAGAAACGAATGGCAAAGTGTTTGCTACAGATTAGAATTAAATGAAACTATGGTTATAGCATTTTAATTTAAATTAATAGTTTGCTATTTTATATAATTTTCCCTTAAAATATTGCTAGTGTAAACTTCTTCCATGAATCTATTGATTGGTGAATGGTGATAAGTTGACACCCAAAGAACAACATCCATTCTTTGAAACTGAAAATATAGCAAGTCCTATCCGTGAAATTATACTATTCGAGTAGAAGAAACATGATATTGTACTAAATTGAGATCGAGGTTAAATGGGTGAGTTTCTAACTAATTGGGTGTTTAAAATTGAGGACTGATTATTTGATTCTAAACTTAATATGTGTTACTTCGTTAAAATTAAGGACAAATTTGTATCAATTTATAATGCGAGGGTTATATTTGAAACTAAAGTACAACTGCGAGATATATTTAACCCGAAAATATAACAAGGGGTATATTAAACTATTTCTAATAATACATGGGTATATTTGGCCCTTTTCCATTTTGTATGATACTGTAATATCAAGTTTCAAAACATTTTTGTAAGAAATAAAATAAAGAAAATTGTATATTACTGTATATCAAATGTATAATATTGTATAACGAATTGTGTCATGGGCTAAAAGTTTGTAATGCAAGTTCTGGGCTATATTTTTACAAAAAATGTAAATTAAGTAATTGTATATTTCTAAAATTTTCTCTATATTTAAGGCCTCATATTACAATATATAAATAATATTAGGACAAATTACTTAAGTACACAACATTACTTTACCTATTCTCAATATTTCCCTACTTTTTTGTTAAAATACAAAAATCCATTATTTTCCCCCAATTCAATTTAACCGGATACTTTATTTTTTGGAAGCCAAATTGACCTTTCCCATTCCCTAATTTTCGCCCTCAATCTCTCCTCAGATTTTCCCACAACCCACGATTCCATCTCCAAATTTTCTCCCCCATTATTCTCAACAGATTCATTATTCCAATTTTGAATTTCAAACTAATTTTCTCTCCATTCAATCAATTTCAGAGTTTGAAATAGGTAGTCTCTTCATCTTCAACTTTTTTTAAAAAAAAAAATATTTTCTTATACTTTATGGATCATCCTTCTTTTAGTATTGGGATTATCCAAATAGTCACAACCAACACTAATCGAATCTTTGATTATGAAGATCCTATAACAATGACTAAGCAAAGTTCTAAGAAGTCAAAAGCTAAAATGGAGGCACATGCAAAAACACCCAAGAAAAGTGGTAGAAAGGTTGCCCCGGCCATATCCAGATCTGCAATACCAACAATATGTATTTTTTTTTCCTGTAATTTTATGTATTCACATAGTAACATTCGTTTGAGGTGGAATTTGTTCAAGATATTATGCAACAAGAAAGCGACAGTCTGTAACTATTGAATCATTTTTTCTTTACTTACACATTTGATCTTTTTTTATAATGTATCTTCTTCTTTTTTATAGTAACTGCGGAATGTTTTTTGTTGTTTTTGTTGAATTTCTGAGCAGTGAAATCAACACCCATCTAATGATTTTCAAAGTGACTATCTTCACACAAGATATGCAACATTGTTATGAAAGTATGGTCTCAACAAGGACAAGACGGAATATGTTAGCGAGAATGATGATCTACAATGCCGAAGTGACTACACTCCACCAACAGAAGATGATCTTGTTAATGTAGAATAGATTTTTATATATCGATTCACCGACAATTGTTGATGATCTATTGTTTTAAGATACATTACGTGTTTTTATACAATTATCAAGTACATAATACAAAATTGTTTTCACAAATAACAAAATTTTATTCTTCACACAACATGATACAAATTATATCTTATAAGATTGGTACAAATCACAACAGATGATACTAAATCATTATCATTTACATAATATTATGTATATCATACTTAGGTGCTTTAAACATCTCAAATTGATACGCTTTTATTATTTCATGCCAAAGTTACAAAGATATTAAGTTTCAAATACACGAAATTGATACCAAAACTACTCTAACTTTTTTTAAGCCGATATTAAATTTTCAAAAAATTATTATGTACATGAAACACAATTGCGTCCACAAATATCAAAATTGTATGTATATGATATATAATATTGGTAAAAAATACAACATCCGATACCTTATTAGTAGTAGATACAAAATTTAGAAGAAGATATTATGTATATGATATGTCATTGCTTCAAATGATACCTTTTTTACATGTTGTCTCTTTTAACTTTGGCACACATCGTTACAAAGATATTAAGTATCAAATACACAAAATTGATACTAAAATAACTCTAACTTTTTTTAAGCTGATATTAAATTTTCAGAAAATTATTATGTACATGAAATACAATTGCGTCCATAAATATCAAAATTGTATGTATATGATTAGGGGTGTTCATGGTTTGGATAAAAACCGATCCAAACCAAAAAATCAAACCAAACCGATTAAATGAACCGATTTAATTTGGGTTTTGGTTTGGTTTGGTTTTAGATTATTAAGAACCGATAGTCATTGGTTTGGTTATGGTTTTGTTCGAAAAAAATCGAAGAAATAACCGAACTGAACCAACAAGTTATATACATAAATTTTATTATTATACATACATAATATATTATATTCATAAACAATTTTAAAGATTTTATATATGTTTCATCAAAATTTATTTATAATTTACTTATGAAAGAAAAAATGTCCAAGGTGAGAACATTTTTCTTATTGGTTTCATGTATATGAGTGTCTATGAAAATTCATTGTGGAACTGAAAATGTCATTGTCTCTTCTTTCTATGCCAAAATAGTGAATTTTGAAGTTTTATTCAGTAAATTCAATGATCCAAAGTTCTGTAATGCCAGTCATTCTAACTATTTTTTCGTTGATTGTTGTCACTTTTTCACGTTTTGAATGAATTGTTTCTTTTATTTTTATGTATGGTTAATAACCGAATCACCGAACCAAACCAAACCAAAATCGAAAACAACCAAACCGATAAATGTATATTATATTTGGTTTGGTTTGATTTTGATAATTTTAAAACCGATTAAGTTGGTTTGGTTTTGGTTTAGACCAATAACCGACCAAAACCAACTCGTGAACACCCTAGTATATGATATATAATATTGGTAAAAAATACAACTTTCGATACTCTATTATTAGTAGATACAAAATTTAGAAGATGATCTTATATATATGATATATCATTGATTCAAATGATACCTTTTTTACATGTTGTCTCTTTTAACTTTGGCACACATCGTTACAAAGATATTAAGTATCAGATACACAAAATTAGTTCTAAAATTACTCTAACATTTTTTAAGCTGATATCAAATTTTCAGAAAATTATTATGTACATGAAACACAATTGCATCCACAAATATTAAAATTGTATGTATATGATATATAATATTGGTAAAAAAAAAAAAAACTTTTGATACTCTATTATTAGTAGATACAAAATTTAGAAGAAGATATTTTGTATATGATATATAATTGATTCAATTGATACCTTTTTTATATGTTGTCTCTTTTAACTTTGGCACACATCACAACTATTGATACTATTATTCTATCCCATACAAAATTTACAAACAATTAAGTATGAGAAACACATCAGTGTATACCAAACTAACTCTATCAGAAATTAACAATCAAAAAATGTTGCCAGAATTCAAAACATAACATTTTTTCATTTATTGCTTCACAAAATAGTAACCTAAAAGTACTTAATTAAGTATTAAATTTGAGAATTATTAGACATGAAGCATAAAAGTACTTCTAAAAAGTAAGTATCAAGAATCTTTCCACCCTCAACACACATTATTGCACCTGTTGTTGCATCGAAGTTTTGTATCTCTTCATCACTTTTTTTCGACGTATCAATGCATAGAGGATACATACTAAATCTCACCTCATGTTTCTTAATTTCTATGTACAATTTCACCCCATATCATTCCGAATACACTATGGAGACGAATTACCTTCAATAATGTATCTGATCTCGATGTTTTTTTTCAATTCATCGATATCCAATTCAGCTGCAATTGCTGAAATAAGATTAATGAACGAAATATTTTCAGATACCACTATCACATCACTTCTGTATCGCTCGTATCTAACATCACTTTTCCATAATCCAGAATATATTAACAAGATCGAAATGTTCATTACGAAACTTCACAAAATTGCGTTCCAAAATTTTTTGAATCAAACTTCTACTGAATTTTCGAAGAACAGGGAGAAGGTTTCACAATTTGAAATTTAAAATTCACAAAATTGAGTTCCAAATTTTTTTTTGAATCAAACTTCTACTGAATTTTCAAAGAACATGGAGAAAGTTTCACAATTTGAAATTGAAAATTTCTAATTCAGTTAGAGGTTTATGAACGACTAATTGGTTGAAGGAAGAAACGTACGCGTTAATAGTGGGAGTCAATTATAATTTCTGTTTTTAATCCCTTATTTAACGCATTAAACTGATAAGAACAACTTATTAATTTAAGTATCCACCTGTTATTAATTAAAGTATCCGCCTGCAATATTATGTATCCGAAAGACACTAAAAATAGGAAATTTTTGGTAATTTATGAAAGAGTAGGGATAGGAAGTAATTTCTTTCTTATACTATGTGATTTGCATAATTTTTACTAAATATTAAGTATAACGCATATACAACTCCTTTAACTTGTCTTAAAATTTCATTTTGACACTTCAACTCAGTCTTGTTTCATTTTAAATCTCCAACTTCATTTTTTCATGTACCATATAAACATATGGTAAAATAAGTAGAGTTCCAATATCACTTGGACAGTTTCAAATAATAGATAATTTTAATTTTGGTAAGCACGAACATAAGGTTAATTATATACTCTATGGCTAGATGACACTGCCAGTCACTTGTATAAAACTATATTGGGATGAACATGTACTAGTACTCATCTTCATCTCTTGATTTCCCAAGCACCCTCCTAAGAAAAGAAGCAACAGCACCAAGAACCAAGAAGAGCACCAGTGTATCGAATCCACCTCCAATGCCAACGGCAACACCAGGCCCTGGTGCGAAGAACGAGAAAGGTGACCATCCCCATCCACCATAGAATGGAATACCATAGCCATATCCATATCCACCAACTAGAGGAGGAGCAACTGGTGGATTGACATATATATTTGTTCTGCAAAAACAATGTCATCATCTAAATTAGTCTATTTAAGCATCCATCGGGATATCAAATACATGTAAGTAGAAAAACAAGCTGAACCAAGTGGTCTTTAAACTGGAGGAAGTATGATAATTCAGTATTTTATTATGGCACTACAACTCTAAGCATACTCAACAAAATTACGTCTCCGTCAGCAAGATTTTGTTCACATCATTTGGCTATGTGTTACGTAAGTATATTGGGGTTTCAGTTAACTCCCTCAACTTTGGAGCCACACAAGAAGTAGAAATAAATAAATACATGAAAGGAACAAGCGGCTGAACAGATACATGAATCTATCAAATACAACCACAATTCAGAAAGCTGTCCACATCCACTTACCGGCTTTCATACACACCGATACAAAGATATTGACTACAAGAAAACTTTTCCATTCTACCAAACTAAGAGGAAAGAGGAAGGGTGAAATTAAGACAGTAGTGTTCGACTACTGCAGTGTGCAGTTAAAGCTGTTCTACAATAACAAAAACTACATGAGGAACTTTCTCAATGACAAATCAACTATTGGAGAACTTCAGAGCTTCTGGTACTATAATTATGATTTCAATAATAAGGAAAAAGGAAACTAGAAGCAACATGCTTCACTGTGCAATAGAACAAAGCTGGATTAGGGGCCATTCAACAGGCTTAAAGGGTCAAGATGGACTTGCAAGTTCTCACATCCTTTATGCAGAAGGATCACTGCTTTTAAGTGAAGCTGAAGAAGAATAGATGCATTATCTTTAGACTTATTCTGTTACTTTTCGGGGCAGTCACTGGACTCCACATAAATATGCACAAGAGCCAGCTCTTTCCAGTAAATGAGGTTCACAATCTTCAACTGTTAGCAGGTATTCTGGGGTGCACTATTGGGACGCTATCTTCTACTTATTTGGGACTACCTTTCGTGCATAAATACACATCAATTTCCATATGGGATGGTATTTTTGAATAATGTGAAAGGAAGTTGTCTAAAAGGAAAAGGCAACATCTCTCCATTGGTGGAATATTAGTCCTCATAAACAGCGTGCTACACTTGCACTTAACACTATGTTATTCCCTATACCTGCTTCTATTTCAAAGAGTATTGACAACATTCAAAGACACTTCCAATACAAGGAATTAGAGACAAGAAATTTTTCATTCTTGTTAATTTAGATACAGTGTTGAAGGGGAAAAGATATGGAGGCCTTGGGGTTAGGGATTTGAAATGGTACATTGTGGAGAAATGTCATTGAAAGCAAAGATGGCAAGCACGATTAATGGAATAACAAAGTTGCTTTGCTTCCCTACAGATTCTCTATATGGAAAAGCATCAGGACTTTTTGGGATGACTATAGGCAAATCATATTTCAAGCTGGGAGATGGAAGGAAGATTAGCTTTTGGCATGACTCTTGGCTGGGCCACACACCTCTCAAATGGAGTCATCCCATTCTTTTTACTTTGGCCGCCAACGAGGAAGCCTGTGTATCATATTACTACTCAAGTTACAGCTAGCACATAATTATAAGAAGAAACTGCAATGATTGAGAATTGGAAAGAACCTGCAGTTTGATTCAACAATTAGGAGCCTACCATACATGCTTAGATAAGAAGGACATCCTATGTTAGAAGGGAAAAACGGATGGAATCTTTACAGTAAACTCGTGTTACACTCTATAGTATAATACACAGAACAACACACTTAAGTGGCCTTGGAAACAAATTTAGCAAAGCAATACCCCCTATAAGTTTTGGTGTTTCACTTGGTTAGTCAGCAAGGCTGCTTGGAAATTATCTAAATGTTGTTGTCCTTCAGTCAAACTTAAACTTTCGGGTCACTAATGAGCACTACCACTTGGAAGGGTGAAACTTCAGGAATGGCTAAGTAAATACAATACAAGGCGTAACCGCTAGTTGTAAAGCATGAGTTTGATAACTGACTAGTGTCAGTGAAACACACTTGAGGAATAATCTGACACACATATTTCTAGTTCTGTTAAGATTGGAAATGGAGACTATCAGATTCCTACAATTTGATTCCTTTTATAGGGTACATTGTATCACAAATAACAAGAGCACGAACTCATCTTTGTAGTTCTTATGAGAACCCACAAATACAGGATACTATTTGGATTTTGAAAGTTAATGAAAAGTGATCTTCAGTAGCTAGTTTGTTTTTTAATTTATCTTTTTGCAGTCAACCCCCCCCCCCCCTCCCCCCCTATTTTCTAATCAAGTAACTACGGAAAGCAGTCGGTGTCTGGTGAGACTCAACCTCCCTGTCTGACTCTGTTAACTGTTAAGGCCTCCTTTACCCCTTTCTAAAGATTAAGTAGATTCTACTTATTCAAACATATTTGAGTTTGATACTTTCATGATTTCTGTTTTCCACCAATTAGTAGGAACTAGGATTAATATTGAATTGAGCTTAATAACAAATGTTACCGCTTGATAGGTTCGATCTTTTAAGTTCTTAGCATTTAACTCATTGTTTTCTTAAAACAAAATTATGGGTGTAGATCTAATATCTGTTGAAAATTGGGTGGTTTTCATACAAAAAGCTTTACTCCTTGTTGGTGGCGAAGCACTGATATGCTTCTAGTAATTGCCACATCAAAGTTAAAGATAATGATGTCCCCGCCACTTCCAAATCCTAGGTCCGCCTCTACATGCACATGAGTCGTGAATCCATATATAATACTGGTGTCTCCATATTTGACTATATTCCATTAATATATTAACTTTTTGACCTGTCTAGAATGTTGATGTTGTCACCACTTTAAACTCACAGTTAGTCTTAGCCCAACTCTGCCTGGGGGTTGGCCTTTTAAGGCTTATTTCACTTCTTTTTTTCTATTTCTCTTATTGCTAATTGGAACTCCAGCTCCGGTAACCTCCTGAACCTTATCCATTACCCTGCTTCAACAAGGGGAAGATATGAGGTAATTCCCTTTTTCAAGGCCCCTAACCTAGTCCTAGTTTGGTTCTCCAGTGGAAAGATTTGAGATACCTTCTCCTACCCTATAAAGTACTGTCCTATTTCGATAATAAGAACAAAATTATGGCCATAAAGATTTTTGCAAAGTAGTTTCGTAGCCAATAGAAAGAACATATGAATCACATTCAATGGGAAATTTAACCATGTCTTGTCGTGTAGAACGAAGGTTTTAGGTTCAACATGAATATTTGCTTTAGTATTGCTTGCACTATATACTGAAGTAATGTATGTGCGACCAATTACTAACAGTGCCTATTTCAATTACTTCCCCAACCATGCTACATTCATGAGAGCTTACTGCATTTGATAAGTTAATTATCTATAGGAGGCAAGGAACTTGAAATGCCTGAGAGGAAATCATAACCTTAAGATGATGGAATTGTTTCCACTAGAACCTGATCGTTCCATAGTAATATAAAACACATAGTTATCCTTATGGCTATGAATCCAAATAATATAGGCTCTATCTGGAGATTTTGTTTTAGGAATATAAGATATACCTTGTTCTGCTCCTCCTAGTTTAATTAGGTACTCACAAAATAACAGGAGCTAAAGTGCTAAAAGGTATAGTGAGTAAATAAATATATAAGACAAGAATCTGAACATTAAAATGAAGGCATAAATATGAGATTAGCTAATTTAGAACAAGCATAAAGAGAAGGAAGATTATAGTGCTTTCATTATCCATCCAAGGTGACTTCTAATACGGCGAACTCCAGTTAATTTTCAAGTTCAGTAAGGTAATATCCAAAAATATTTCCCCATATAAAATGAATAGCTTGCTAAGGTCTCAAATAATAGCATTAAAAAGTTAGAAATCAGCTCAAAACATACTTTTGCAATACCTATGTTCCTCAGTGGCTCAAAGCAAAATTTGCTGCCTTAAATTGTCTCGCCCCCAGTGACTGAAATCTCTAGCATCATTTTCCAGTCACTGTTTGTCCTTGCATTATGGGAAACATTCTAGTTGTAACAGATTTACACTGCCGTTTTCTTTTACCCTGCCAAGCTATCATTTCTATTCAAACATCTTTACATGTACGAAACATTGAAACCTTCTCTCCACGTCCAAATTTCAGCAAAACTAGAAGCATTCACCATATCTAGATACAATCATTCAACAGAAAGCCAAGGCAAATACAACTATTGGTGTTGTACCTTTTGGCGTCGAGAGTACTATACTTGTAACTACTACTACTACTACTACTAAATTAACATGTTCCCTTACTACAAAGTTCAAAATTCTGATCACATATTGTATGTCTGAGACGATCAAATTACTCTCCTTTGCAATAATAAGATTCAATAACAAACTATTCATCATTTTCAAATGGGCTTATATATTTGCAGCTTGTAAACAGTTCTATAAACTTTTATAACCAATACAACTTTGATCAATCTTCAACAATCAGTCAAATCAATCCTCGATGAACAAAGTAGGACCTCCATTCGAAACGAAGTAAAGCATTAAAAACTCTTAAGTTATTTCTACATAAACAGTAAATTTACATGTTTCAAGGCTGTTGATTATTAAATTGTATGACAATATCATTTAAAAGCATCATCTAGTTTAGTGAATGTCTTTTATTTACTTAAGTATGTTTTCAACAAACTCCCATTAGGTGTTGGGCATGATTATCTTTCTTAGGACAAGACGTGGAAATTTATTTGGTAATCGGTGGAGGCAAGGGGCTAAACACAGGAAAAAAAACAAAAGGAGTTCAACATCTACAATATAAACATGTATAAATAGTATAATTCTTAGCCGAAGGGGGTTAGCATGAACCCCTTGACCGCTACCTGGCTCCGCCCCTACGTGGAGGTGAGACTTGAACCTAGGATCTCTAAGGACCATATTTAATTTTGTGACCATCTCATCTAACAGCCTAGTAAATTGTTAGTCAGGATACACTTTTATTTACTTAAACATATCTTCAACATAAACAAATACATCTTTTGCTCAAAAAAGTGTGGAATTAACCTTGAATTATTGATCCTTGGTGAGGAAGAGCGAGGAGCTGACGGTCGAAAAGCCTGACCACCAATTCTACCACCAGTCTTAGCAGCTGATGCTGAATCCACTGAGCCCAGTGTCAAAAACCCAGCTGCCACTGCAACTAACGCTAACTTTTCAAATTTATTTTCACTTTTCCTGGAAAAAAAAAACGAGAACTCCATCAAGAACCCAGAAAATGAGAGATAAAGAATGAAACTTTTTCCCCATTATATTCAACTTTTACCTCAAAGAGTCTTGTGGGTCATCTGGGCTGTGCTTGCACAAGATTTTAGTGCTATGTACAGGGAAGAAAGTGAAGTATTTTCTGGGTTTGTATGTTGAAGAAAGAGGACTAATTAAGAAACTTTGCTGTAGAATAGCTACTGACATTTTTATTTTTTGCACTTCAAGTGGAAGCTCAAGAGTAGAGAAATTAAGTTTTGTGCGATTTGTAAGTGAGTCAATGCTGTGATGATATTTGCCAAAGGTTCATCCAGTTGATGACTGTCAAGTCTCCACGTGGGGATGCAATAGTGGCTGATTTTGGAACATTCAAGAATATCAGGACATAACATGTGATTGGAAGAAACATGGTCGTTTGGAAGAATGTATTACTGATAAGATCTGTATACACTTTATCCTTTACAGATTAGTGGCGGAGCTAGGACTTTTAACAAGGGGTTCAAAATCTAAAGAACTAAACAAACGAACTCACTGAAGGGGTTCAACATTTACTATATATACATAAAAAATAATTTTAACCATGTATAAATAGTACTCCTTCCGTCCATTTTGATGTGGCACTTTTTAGATTTCGAGATTCAAACAAGTCTAACTTTGACCGTAAATTTTTCATAAATCTTTTAAACATTTTGAATTATCAATTGTTGTGACTTATAGTACTTTTTACGTAGTTTACAAATATATAAATTTCATTTAAAATAATTGAAGATTTCATGCGCAAATTTTCGATCAAACTTTAACTGTTTGACTCTCGAAAAATGAAAAGTGCCACATAAATTGGGACAGAGGGAGTCATATTTTCCGCCGAAGGGGGTTCGGATGAATCCCCTAATAGAAGGCTGGCTCCACCTCTGCTTCAGACCTCATTTATTGAATTTTACGGGGTATGTTGTTGTTGTTATTGATAGAGTATATTAGCAAAATTAATGCATGCATTATCTATGTGTATTAGTAATACTTTATTTGATACACTTTTTTATGTTCATGTATAATTAACATTAGTTATACATTCTATTGTGTATTAATGTGTATATTACTAATACCATGAATTTCTAGGTATTAGTAATGCATGCATTAGCATGATTAAAGTCTCGATTATTCTTCAAAAACCTTTTTTACATCTCCACATCTTTCCACCATAATTGTAAAGAATATTTTTGTAAACAAATCTTTTTTATGCAATGCATGTTGTTTTTATTAAACCAAATCAAATAATATATGTATAATTAATACAAGCATAACTAATACAAATATTACTAATGTAAGAATTACTAATACACTCTATTTTGCATTATTTTTATAAAATTTACCAAATGACCTCTAACATAATCAAACGATTCTACAAGTTGCAACCATTGATCTCTAGGTATGCAATATTGATCAGCTTAAAAAAAATAGGGTTAAAATGGTCTAAAATGCAAATCATGATTCAGTTTGCTTAATTCTTATTAAATCTACCCCTAGACATGACAAGGCGAATAGAGTCTTGAGAGACCCGAAACAATCCACTTAACATAAGAATAACACTATGATAACAACCAAACGAAAATAAAGCACGAAGCGGAATATAAGTCTCAATCAACAATCTTAAATGATACCAAATTAGAGTATAAGACTTCCTAAAGCCGAAACAATATTATGTCTGACATAAGCCTCTACTAATATATGTGGCTAGGATAGGCCCTAGCTCACGAAAAAATTGGAAACTGAAATGACATAAAGCGATAAAGACATATATGGTACGGTCCCCAAGACATACATGTTTCGGGGACTCACCAAAATTTTAAATACAATTGATCAATCCAACTAGCCACTAATGGCTAGAAGAACGTCAGAACCTATATTATGAAAATAATATAGGCACAAGAGAATGTATGCATCAATATATGAAACGTACCGAGTATGAGAGAAGATGCATAAGTAATTATATGATACGTAATAAGTTTGAAACATGATAATACATGACCAAGTAAAACATATCAATCGGATAAGCTTATTTCATAAATCATAACGAGGCCAATGCAATACGCTAAATATTATATCTAGGTAGAAGTCATGAAATATGTATCAACATAAGCTAATTGAGGAAAACATGTTCTTTTGTGGGAGATTTACCATTAACCGACATAAATCATGTGAGTTATAACATGGAGTTTTGTGTACTGCTCCCACAATGAGAAGAGAGTGTCCTACTTGTCAAGGTACGAACCATATTTTTAAGTTTAAGTGGATCCACTAGCTAATGTTTATTATGAAAAATCCTATGGGGGCACATAGTTCTGGGATTTGGGTAATCCCCACTAGTCCAACTTGGTGCTAAGTAAACTCCCAACAAAAATCATATAAAATCATATCAATTAATAGTCATACATTTTTGTAATGGTAATAATCTAATAATACTGAGTCAATCGCATATTCATATCAAAGCAAAAGAAGAGTTCCTTTTAAAATATCACGATTCACGAATTTCATAACGTAATCAATGCATAAGAGATCCTTAATCGAAAGCATCAATATTATGATAATCTTTCATAGTGAGAATACTTCAATCGAAAGTAACCTAATTTCATAAAAACATGAGATACTTTATTCGAAAGCACCTTAGAATCATAGTCTCATAATTCTTCGTACATGCATAACTCAAAACTTTATTTAGTTCATGATCATGAAGTATTCATATAGCATGGGTTCATATGAAATTCGTTGAAAACATGCAATAAAGATCAAATCATTCTTAATAAGATCAAATAGAATGATATCGGCCCCAAGTCATTTTTTATTGAGTTTGAAAAATTGGTTTTGAAATTTGAGTTACAAGTTGAGATTTTTGATAAGTTTTGAGTTTGAAAGGCTAAGTTGTTAATAAAGTAGCTTTTGGTGTCGTTTGGAGTTTTGAGCATCAAAATGGGATTTCGTCGATTCCATCAGTCCCAAAATGTGAAATCAAATACGTGAGAGTCGTCGGTTTCAGTTTCTAAGTCATTTTGAGGATTTGAGGTCCTAAGTTATGAAATTGTGGAATTAGCCTTTGGGTTGACTTTGGTCAATATTTGGGGTTTGGATGCTAGAATCGAAATTTTGAGAGTTCTATTGGATTCGAGGATGATTTTAGGCCTAGGTGAGGTCTTGATTGATTTTTGAGAGGTCCCAAGTTTGTTTTAGCCTTTTTAGGTGTTGAGTTAGTTTCGTGTGGTTTTCACGGATGTCGGGTCAAGGAGACCTCAGATTCATGTTTTGACGATTCTATTGAGTTGAACGTCGAGTGTAATCGATTTGCATATGTGGTTTGTGTTTACGAGGTTCCAAACAAATCTCGAGAGTCATTTTGATGATTTTGAGCTGGCTAGTTTTTCTGTGTTCTGGTGCAACCCTTTGCGTTCGCAGAGCTTTCAGTGCGTTCGCAAAGGGCAGGGGGTGAGAACCCAATGTTTGTGGAGTCTCGATCGCGTTCGCGGGAGACCTGTTGCATTCGCGGAGGTCCAATCATTAAAAACTTGTGTTTGTAGGTATGGGTCCGCGTTCGCGAGGAGGTCCCTGCAGTGTTAAGCCCAAATTTTGGGGTTTCTTTTCCATTTTCATTTTTGGAGCTTTGAGAACTCGGTAGAGGCGATTTGAAGTGGTTTTTTCAAGATAAAATTGTTGGGTAACATTTCTTAACTCTAAAACTTCGATTATCCAATATTATTATTATTATTGAATTTATGAGTTTAAATCAAGATTTTGGGTTGATAAATTGGGAGTTCTTCATGAACTTGAGTTTTGAAGTAAAAGTGAGTTATGAACTGATTTTCAAGTCCATTTTCCAAATAATTTTTTCCTAATGAGTTCCTAAAGTCTTGAGTAATGTTTTAAAAGTATTATTTTTTTGGATTCAAACCTTATTTTTAGAATTGGGTTTTGTGTTGATTGACCCACTTTTCAAGAGAAATTGATGTCGGTATTATTATTTCAACGAATTTATTGTGAATACTCTCTTGTGCATAGATTGTGTGTCTTTGGGAGTGATCCGGAGGGGGAGACTTAACTATTTGAGTGATTGTTGATTGATTTTAGGCAAGTGACTTCCTAAACCTTGTATTCTAGTTGAATTTGTATGCTTCCTTCTTTGCTTGGGTGTACTGGGGATGAGGTGAAGGTTAAATTGTACACTTGCTATATCTAAATGAATAAAAAAAGGTTGAAATGAAAAAGACTATGTGTTGAACATGATGATGTGAATTACCTTAATAAAACCCTTATTGATTGGTTGATGAAATGCTTGAAAACATGATTGTGGACTTGAATTGTGCAAATTGTTGTCTCTTCTATTTGGTATGATATTGCTTGTGTGCTTTGATCGTTGAACATTGTGATGATTATTATACTGAGGTCTTTGTCGGTGAGTGTTAAGATGATGACTCTTTACCGGCGAGTGTTATGATGTCAAGGTCTTTGCCAACGAGTGTTATGATGCTAAGGTCTTTGTCGGCGAGTGTTATGATGTCAAGGTCTTTGCCAACGAGTGTTATGATGCTAAGGTCTTTGTCGGCGAGTGTTATGATGTCGAGGTCTTTGTCGGCGAGTATTATAAGCCGATGAGAAATGGTTTCGATTAGTGATGATCATTCTGACTTGATACATTTCATGTTTATGCGTGACTTACTTGTGAATTGTAAATGATGTACTTGTTATGTGTTATTAAACTACTTGTCATTCAGATTGACTTATTTGATTTGTTTGATTATTAATTGTGAAGATTGAACTGCAAATATTGGGCTTGTGAGCCATTTATTGTAAAAGTGCAAGGTTGAGTTGATTTCTGTGCAAGTTGTAGTTTGAGGAGGTTTAGTTGGAGTGTAAGGGGTATTCGATTTCTATCTAGTTGCTTTGTTTAGTAGGTTGGTAGTTGGGTACCATGTTGTTGGTACTCACCCTTGCTTCTACACTTGTATAGGTTTCGAGTCCAGACTCGTGTGATCTGTTTCTCCTTCTATTGATCTCGAGACTCGTCAAGGACTTGAAGAGGTAGCTGATTGTCATTCGATAGACCCTCTTTTTTCTTTTCTTATACTTTGTTCTATTTGAGAAACAAAGATTGAGACTTGTATTTATTTCTTAATTCTACACTTATGTATTTAGTGGTTTGTACACGTGACAACTAGATTTTGGGGGCTTTAATAGAAGAATTAGTTTTTCGCTTTATCTTGTTCTTGTTTTTACTGCTTTCCGCTTTTTCTTTCGTTTTCGTTTGGGTTGAGGCTGACTTGTCTTGGTGGAAAA